CTCTAGAAGCATATATTGATTGGTATCGGACAAAGCAACTATACATACCTGTCAGTGCAAACAAAACAGGGAGACATCTTTAGATGGAGAAGCAGCGAACTCTTTCGTATTTGCCTGTCGCGACTCTTGTGAAACAGCAGCATGAAAAGGAAGAACTCTTCTACGAGAGCCTTTTCTGTCAACGCGTTTCAATGCATTTTCAACTTTTCGGCATGTCTCAATCTGTATATGGAGAAGAAGAAGGATGATTTAAAAGTAATGATGAGTCCTCCATCCAGATGGCTTTGGAGCCTTCTCTCGAACTCCAGGTCAGGAGTTAGCGAGATGGTCGGGAGAGAGATGTAAATGTAATGATGAGTCAATTTCAAGCAGCCTACACTGAAAGATCAACATACCTTGTTACAAAAAACAATCGTTTTGGTTACTGGGCTTTCTACCGCAAACTGAACAAGAGTAGACTTCTTACTCAGGAATGCAGTATTTGAAGTCTTTGCGCTGTCTTCCTCTCCACTACAATCTATGAGAAACTGGACATGACATGTAAGAGATAAATTCTCCTCTATTACAATGGTAGTCAGTTTTCTTCTTGACACGAAAATAGGAGGAATGGCACTGGTTAGCTACCACAGCAAATTTATGGGACATGTTCATCAAGGGGGAAGGATAAAGCAATCTCATGTAACAGAAGATGACTGTTCAACCCGAATTAAAAAGCTCTTAGCCTATCTAGGATTAGTCTTGGGAAAATAATCCTTCTCCAGTATATGCAACCTAAATTAGTTTGTACAATACCTCTGTACAATGTTAAATTCTGAGAACCAACAAACAGGCAAAATGAAAGGACAACTGCACAAACTCTTCTGCAAATTGAGGAAAGAAGAGAAACAGATAGGATCCTAATATAATCCTCAATCATCTCAAAACAATCGATCAAATTTCACAGACTTCTCCTGATTTTATTTCTCTTCACCTTCAAGCATTTTTAATGACTTACAGAATGCTGGTGGCATCTTTAGATAGTATAGACCGCTTTTGGCCAAAAGAATAGTATAGATTACCATGCATACACTTGCTAAGAGTCATTCAAGGAAAAAATTTCATTCCACTCTTCATCCAGTTTCCATCTTCCCCCGTCATGTGCAGTAACAATCCACCCCCAAATCCAAAGCATCAAGGTAAAACCATGCTCCATCACTTTTAGGGAGCATAAACGACAGCTTAGTTATGAGTAATATATTGTCCAAAAGCATCAAGAAAAAAATGTACACACACTGAAAAGAATCCTTTTGTGCGTAAATTAGATAACAGTAACGTATCCACCGGCAAATAATGGAAAGGGGAATAATACAGTTTCTTTCTAAAAATGATCGTTCGTCTCGCTTGAAATAATTAGTCAATAAAAAATGTTATCATTATCAACAATAATTTATATTTCGTTCATTCATTTTTGTAAGTGATACCAGCGATCAATTTGTAAGGAAAATGTTTTCCGAATCATTATTTTTTTTCGCGAAACGGACGGACCCTAAAATACGGACCCTTTTCAAAGCAGCTCAGATATTTTACCCTCTAATATAAACATCGGGGATTTATTATAAGTGTTGGAATTGATAAGAGCTTTTACCGCTTCGGTCCTTTTTCGTACCCAAAAAGGAAAAAACGTAGATAATGAATGGTGAATAAAAACACCAGGCCCATCACTCTTCGCACGATACCTCTCGGAATCAATGATTTCATGTTCATCGTTGCTTTTAACTGGAATCAGTGGACGTCAGTCTCAGTGAGTCAGGGACTGGTGAAATTGGATTCGGCACATTGAAACTCGGATTCTCATCGTCGTCGTGGACGATCGAGACTCTAATCTCTGATCATCTCAGTTTCTGATCAATCGTTTCTCGCTTCATCGCAGATAATCTGTTCGTCGAATTTTCCCTGAGAAGCACGCAAATGCAGAGGAAGGATTAGGAAAGCTGGAACCAGGCAGAAAGTGGAGCCGTGAAACAGGGGAGTCGCTCCCCATTATCCACCGCAGCTTAACAGACAGCTTTAATGCTTGTGGTCGGACGCAGCGATTGTGAGTTCAGGCGATGATGAAATCCGATGACTAACGGCCGCACTTACCAGGTCGTTTCTACTATTGCATTGCAAAATTCAACCATCAAATTTGAACACTAAAGAAAATGTCGGAGAGAATCTCAGATGAATTCTAGGCGATTGATCCTACAAGTTGGCTAGTGAGAGAGGCCCTTTAGACAGTCGGAACAGCTCATAAGCCTTGCCATCTTAGAATGGCAAAAGTCATAAACGAGAAAAATGTCAGAAAAGTCTTAAACATATTGTCTTGGTGCCAATTTAATCTTAAACCTTTTGACCTAGTGCCAATTCAATCATTCCGGCTAATTTGGGCCGGATATTGCTAACGTGGACGGCGGACGGTCTACGTGGCATGCAGGTCCCTTCTCGCAAGAAAGAAATCACTTTCCTTGAAACACCAAACAAATGAAAACTAACCATTTTCCTTGAAAATGATTTCCATGGAAAATATTTTCCTTTATGTTAAAGTTTTCAGTAAAATAAACACACCCATTTTATAGGGGTGAGCGGTTCCAGGTTCCGGTTCGGTTCCGCTTAGAACCTGGAACCTACCCTCAGGTACAGGTTCCTCATTTTTTGGAACCTGGAACCTACCCGTCAGAACGTGAAACCTGGAACCTACCCTGTCACAGGTTCCAGGGTCGGTTCCAGGTTCCAACAGGTTCTTTTTTTTAATTTCGTTTTTAAGTAAACAAAACGAAAATAAACGCAACAATGACTAGTTATTAAAAAATAATATTTCGCTTAGTAGAAAGGGGATATTATCTAACAACCTAGATCCATTTATGCAGAATAGAAAACACCAAGAGTTCAGCATCATATAACTTTATTATCAATGGATCAGTGCAAATATATTTAGTAGAATGATATTGTCAATAAAAGGCCAATTAGCAACACCAATAGCAAACCTCGTTAATCTAGGAAAGAAACTTAAAACAATATAATAGTGGAGGAGGCAAAAACTAGCTAATTAGGACTCAATATTGCAAAGAGATATCTTCTATACAAAAAGCAATAGAGGACATATCGCAATGTCGTAAAAGCATTTATACAGCTAAGCCCCCTTTGTGCAAGGCTTACTTTGCTGATGTTCAACTTAAAAATCATTGGAAGGGATAAAACGAAAATAAATCAAAGGAAAACAATCCAAAGGTCCACCACTTAAGACATACGTGTTTACTGTCAGAAATCTTCTTACTTTCGAACTGCATAGACTGGGCCAGTGGTAGCCCCAGCACCAATATGCAGTCAACATTGTAGGAAATGCAAAATAGACGAAGAGGAAACGAAACCTACCTCTTGCAGCATAAATCATTGCCAATTCCTGAAACCGAATATCATAACATATGCCTATACCAATACGTCCAACGTCTGCATAGAGCCAAAAAGAAAAGAAAAGAAAAGAAAACAACTCAAACAACAGATAGACCAGAAGACTCAGGCAACTAAATGTTCCATACATAGTTACTTAAGGAAAGAAAAGTTACCTTGCGGTGCTTGGCTTTCAGCACTCCAATGGAACCAAAAACACAGCAAGCGTTGTACAATCGATCACCACATCTTTCTGGGATTGAACTGCCCACTATGGTAACCTTCAAGGCCTTAGCAGCTTCAGATAACATAGCAGTTGAAGGAGATGAACCTCCATCAATGTCCTCAGCATAAACAGGGAAGCTATCATTTGAATAGGGACTGTTCCATATTTCCTGGTACAGAGTCAACAAAACCATGGGGCAAGCTGCGTGATTTTTCCCTCCTTTTATAGAACGGCGCAGGCTACAAATATTTCTGATTTTACTGGAAGCCAAAGCTTGCAGTATAAAAACATAGCAATTACATAAGCATCAATAAGAACTTAGCCACAGAAAGTCACCCAAAACTAATGAAACAGACACGTGCCCGCTCAAGATGCTTTTATCCATTCTTTCTTCTAGTGCACGCCTTCACAAAAGGGCATTTGATAAGGTATACAAAGTTCTTGTAAGCCATAAATTTCCCATTTTGCAATCAGGAGGCACATCCAAACTTTCCGCAGCTACACGAAATGCTCAATGACCTTTTTCATTCAACACGGGCTACATTTGCCTAAACATCTGCTAAATCTACCTAATGCAGAGAGACTCACGGGCAAGAGAACAAGCTGAGCGCCCTTGTCCACGGCCTCCCGAATCGCGTCGCGAGCATGGGCAATGTTCCTCTCTTTATCCGCCTCACCGAAAGTTGGTATAGCCCGATCTGAAACTGAAACCACACCACCCAAAGAAAAGACGTCAAATTTCGAGGTCGCATCGATGATCGAAGTCGAGGGGTTCGAGCCCATGCCTTGGCGAGGGGAGGAGTGGGCAGAGGGAGCGCGGGCGTCAACTGACACTTACTCTTGTCCTTGCTCGCTCCCTTCTTGCACCTCCAGCCACAGGCCACTCGATTGGTCACCAAAAAAACCCAGAATCGGAAATCCACCGTGGATGAGCCGGACCGCGGTTGATGAAGACAGAGGAAGAGCCAAGGCGGACGCCGAACGGAGCGAGGAGAGGCAAGAAGGTCTCGTCAAGTCGTGGGTGCGGGGAGTGGGAGAGAGGGTGCAACGGAGGAGCAACCGAGAGAGAGAAATTTGTGAAGAAAAGTTAGGGTTTTTATTTTTTACTAGGAAGAGCGTTGGTTCCGGTTCCGGGTTCCGGAACCGGGAACCCGGAACCGGGAACCGGCGGTTCCTAAAAAATTGGAACCGAGAACCGGAACCGCCCACCCTAGAACCGGGAACCGAACCTTACCCGCCGGTTCGGTTTTTCGGTTCCCGGTTCTACCCTAGAACCGTGCTCACCCCTACCATTTTCCACCTTAAATTTGCGAATGAAGTGATTGCTATATGTCATAGCTCTTCATATTTGCTAAATTATTTTCTTCAAGCCGAGTGATTAATCTTGATAGTTTGTCTGTAAAACAAACAAAGAGGTGCCTTGTCCCGCAACGAAAAGATACGAGTGTGTGGACCAATATTTGGTGCAGCATTACTTCGATGAGAGTGGAATTACTGCTGTGAGCACGATTCCTGATTCGAGTGTGGGGATATCTTCTTAATGTTTTTGGTATTTTATGGAGAGAGTATATTCTGCGTGGTTCATTGCATGAGCTTCGAGGGTTTATTATTTCTTTTCCCCCTGGTACAGCGCAACTGTTTTCGCTTAATATAGCTTAGATACAAAAAAGATGTGCTGGCAATGGCACGGGAGTATTATAAGGAGAGTAGGGACATTGACGGAACTTTAAGGCGAATGCCCCGTCATCCGGTTTCTGAAAGGGCTGTAGTAAGCTTTTAATTCGCGATTGCTCAAGCAGTTGTTCTAGCCATGCCAACTATTCGATTTGTTCGATTCCTTTCTCCAGATTGGCAATTTCATGTCCTTTTTAGTTCTTTTAACTAATTTTCTTTCTTTCGCTTTCCCCCGTCCTCTACCGGCACTGTCTGATCATCATTTTTCTGTAATTATTACGTTGGTAGTTTTGCCTCATTTTTGTTTAAAGATGATGCTGCATAATCTGCTTTTTGGCTTTTTACAGCGACAGTCCTTGAAGAAGTTTCTTGGGAACTACTTGCAGGCATTAAAAGCTATGCCTAGGACTTTGAGAATGATGCAAGTGCTAAGCAGTTAGAGAAACATATGTTGCTCCGTGTGAGCTCTAGTTTAGCAGCTGCTCACAAAGTCAAAGGATTTGCTCTACTTGGACGCCTTCATTTTGCACTGAACTCGTGCTTTCGATCTTCATCTTTACTTGAGCCCAAATTATTGAGCTTATATGACAATCTTCATTGTTAGATGCTCAAAGCATCTTTTCCAATGTTTTTCATCGTCAAACAATGTTTTCATGTTACTTCACCTTGGTTTTCATGGTTCTCCCTAACGATCATTACAATTATGATCATTGGATTTTCTGATGTCCTCTCAAAACATGTAAATAGACTCCTTCAAGAAAGCAACATCGTATGGTTGGGTATGAGGGACCCGATATTTCTAGCTGGGGTTTCTTATTTTAGGTGTTCACTTCAGTTGCTAGCAGGTCTTGCTCCTCAGGTATGTACATAGTTACCAAAGCTATTTGTGGAACCATGCAGTGAGTGCAAGGGTGCAGAAGTATGGTATGCTAAGTACGGCATCAAAAAGACACGTTGAGGTTTTCTTTTTGGTATCCTTTGGTTCAGAACATTAACTTTTGCTCTGTTTTTCACCACGTGGCGGGAGCAGAACAAGTTGTGGTGGGGGACATAGTACATCATCAAGAACATGATGATGAGAATGTGGCAGAAGAAGTTGTTTCGGCTTAATTGACAACAAGGAGATCCTGTTTGTCATCGCTGAGTGTCATCTTTGTGGATATGGTCGATTCACTGAGACTCAATCATGTGGTTGTTCTACACTGCCTTTTGCCAAGAGCTTCGAATTGTTATTTCGATTGTTGTCTGTTGTTAGAACTCAGATTTTGTCTCTACTATTGTCTAGCTGAGTACTCCAAATTGTAAAGCTATTCTGTTTACCCTGTACTTCATTCCACTTGCTCACAACCTGCTCGACAGAATGCCTGACTGAATCGTAGATAGTTAGTTCCTGTTGCATTCTGTTTAAAAACGTTTTGATGTCCAATTGAAGTTGTGTTGGTTGTGTCTTACTACATTTCCTGTAGATAGTTGATTGAACAAATTTGGACTTACAGGCATACTGCGTTGCTTGTTGTTTATGTGTGCAATATGTCAAATGCTGGTCATGTATCATTTGTTGTTTGATGTTCATACATCTCGCGTCGGAAAATGCACATGGTATTACTCCTCTAAGCTGTTGGACACGAGAAGTTCTGATCCGAATGACATGTGTATGATGTTACATTCATAGTCCTTGAGTCGCATAAACATGTATAGTGAGATGGAAATGTAGAATGCTTTGTATATATTGATATCTCATCAAATTGTCTTCGTTTCATGCCTTGAACATAACAAGGGTGTTTGCTGGTCGCTTTTGTTCATATTTGGAATGTCAGGATTTTGATCCCATTTCAATAGTATTTTAGTCATGCGAACATATAGAGAGATGCTACATTGATGTTACGTTCGTTTTCCATCAAATTGGGCAATTTCATGGCTTGAAACGATAAAAAATGATAAGATTCCATCCATATTGCCCAGATTCGAGTCAAGCAAAGTTGGTAATTGTTTGGCGTTACTTGGACCTCCTCAGCATGTATATCCACGTGAGAAAGAGACAGCTTTGGATTCACATTGATTTCATGTTGGAATATCACATTCTCATGCTCGAAGCGTGCTTAAGATGTCCTAGGAGCTTGCTGTCCGTATGTATTTATGCAGTGAATGAGTATTTTTTAAACTCATTTGGATGATAAACTTGTATTTGTGGTTGGTGGGGTCTTCGTTCCTTTGAAGTAGCAGCTACCCGCGCTTTTTGTTAGGTCTCCTGTGAGTGTTGCTGTCAACTTTTTTTTCATATTGGACAATAGTGTGCATGGATGAAAGTTGCTTTCTGCGAGGTAAAGAAATGAGTAATTTGAGCTAAATCTTCGTTGCATCGTGTTGACATCTTCTCAGCTTGCCATTCATGCTTTGAGATTGTAAAAATGTCATCCCTCGTTTTATTGGTGGTGAGTTGGTCGTTAATCCTAAAAAAATCAAAAATCAAAATCAAAAGCAAAAAAGTTGAAAATATAAAATGTAAAGAATGGAGATCGCATTTAGGTAGTTGCATCTTAGGAATAGTTTTAATTTGATCCAATTTAGTTTAAGATTGCAATTACGGAATTATCTCGGTACATGTTTTATACTCTTAGGTTCGAATTTTATAACTGGGAAAGGTTTAATGCAACCACACATAAAAATGACATCGTTTCTACCGCGGCTCAACTGTAAATCTATTTCTCAAGAGCTACCCTAAAAAAGTCCGTCCTTCACATTGCCGGAATGGAGCGACTGAAAGTCTTGGACATGTCATGTGTAAATATCAAAGACAAAGCTAGAAGGTAAATAACGTTCGCCTCACCACCACCAGTTTAATACCGATCAGCTTTTCATTCAGAGATGCTAATTTACTCACAAATTGCTTGAAAACAGTAACCTGCAAATGCAAAAAAGGAACCTAGTCTGAATTCTAAGCATCTCTCCTGTGTCTTCATCAAAGCCGGAAGGAATAAAACATCCTAGATGCACAATAATGCATAAGACAATCAATTGCTTTGAAGCACAAGCGGTTATATCACAACGCTCAATCTTATTTTGAAGCTAGAGACTTCGCCCGTCTGTTGGCAGGGTCTTTGTGATTGTCGAAAGTGAAAGGCTGCTCAAGGCAAGCTGAGAACTATTTCATGGAGCATGCATAGGAAGTACCGGCTCTATCAATTAACAACTGACAATCGTGATATGATTTGAATCATCATAAGATTGGAAGATTCCGATGAAGTCGGGTAGCTATATTTGATGAACATCTGATACTCTGCATGAATGCTCTAATATTAAATGAGTTTACAAAAGTCCAAAGATTGTTTGTAAGACTCCCTCAACAGCAAACATCATCAATATGGGGTCGTTCAAAATGTCCAGGAACTTTCCTTCAATGGTCCTAAAGAAATAGGCGAAGGAGAAAAGGCTTCACAAGTTGGACTTTCTGGCAAAGCCGTAGGGCTGCTTCTTGGAAGAGGTCTTCATCGGTAAACTTGCTTTTAAAAGTAAGCCCAAGCAACAACACCATCGACCGTTCCAAACAATTTCTTTATTTTTATTTATTTTATTTATTTTTTACAAATAATTTCTTTATTAAAATGATGATGATATTATGGCAAATAGCTACAAGAAAAAGGTCCGAATTTGGAGGTTGAATTTCCTACGGAATTACCATGAATGCAAAATAAAATGTTGTAAAGTCTCTCTCGGAATCTCTTGGTCTCTCTCGAAATCTTAGTCAATAAACATTTATCTTTTTAACCTTGTAACAACTCCTTTTCATCGATTGTGCTTCTTCCTCCAATGACTATCTGGAGAAATGTGAAGGTCAGTAACCGGACCTCATAAAAATTGGACCCGAAAAGAAGAGGGTTGAAATTGACATTTATCAGCCGTCACTGGATAGTTTTCGGATTAAAACACGCAACTTTACACACCAAAAACAACAAGAAGCACAACCTCGAACAAACCTTACTCTAGCTGGATGGTTTTCACAAACTTAGGATTCCCAAGCAAGACAACCTACAACGCTTGTCGGTGCCAATCTTATTTTGACACCAAGGCAACACTCAAAACAATGCTTAACGGAGAACTCGATAATGTTGAATACATTAAACATCAAGAACTAAATGACAGCGAGATTCAGTGATTAGCTGAACAAAATTAAGACCTTCCTCTGTACTTCACTAGAGAAACTACACTTGAAAAATTAGATAAGAGCGAGATTCAATACTTAGATTACAAAACATGTAGAGAGATCTTGTTCTCCCAACAGACCAACTGTTAATCCTCTCAAAAGTAGGGTTTTTGTCATGTATTACTAAACAAGAATTAAAGCCAAATCTTGGCACATTAGGGGAGAACCACAAAGTCTGTACCAGTCAACATCAGCATTCTTGTTTCTGACAATTTCCCAAGCAACAAAAGAGTTCAGGCAACCAGTTGAAGAAGCTGTGCATACAACATTCTCTGCAGCTGAGGAATTAGGAAAATTCACACCACAAACAGCAGCTTGGATGGAAACCAACTCTCTAGACCTAGCAGCGGGCCACTTCCAATGAGAGTTACGAATAACAGCAGATACTTTGGCCTGCAGAGGAAGAGAAGATTCATAAGTCATTCTCCTTGAGAAATGATTCCGGCAAGATCCTAGCATGGTGTCACAAATCATACCAAGAGAAATATTATATCCATTACCCACTATATATCTAATGCGGGGTTTCAAGATATTCCCGACTTTTAATAACTTCTTCCAAGCATAAGGAGCATCTGGTTTCCAGTCAAGATGATAGCTATAGAGCCAGGAAAAACATAGAGACCGTACCTCAACAAAATACTCCACAGACACTTTAAAATACAAGCCAGATTTCACAAATCCAGTCTTTGAATGCTAAGGCCTCCAAACTGCTTAGCAGGACAGACAGTGTCCCATCTAACTTTTGCTCCCTCTTTTAGCATCCGGATCTCCCTTCCAAATGAAAGCTCTACACTTGTGCTCAACCATTTCAAAAACTTTCTTGGCAACAGAAAGAGTTGGCTCTAATAGTTAACCATACTATAAATAAAAGATTTAATAAGCAGAAGGTCTTCGGCATATGAGTGGCTTTTAACTGTCCAAGCTTTAAATCTTGTTGTAATCTGATGATTTTATGAGATTGTCTGAAAGCCTTTCAGACCATCCAAAATAACTAGAAGAAAGAACCAAACGAGAACATAGGGTTGGCTGATTGCTCATGCTGTTTGATTTGATTGCTGCATGTTAGACAAATGCATCTTTTAAAAGCTTAAGCTTTCAGGAAACGAGCCAAGTGATATATATATATCATAACACTTAGTAATTTTCACATAAAAGAATCAAAATTAGTGAGGTGCATTCCACAACTTAGTAAATGTGTGTAAATGGAGTTTCCAGACTAAAACGGGAAAGAGGATTTAAAACACCTTAATTGCCATTAACATGACATGAACTTGCTCTATCCATCCTGAAGTTCTGAGCCATACTTCTTCGATGCAATGCAACTTTCAAACATTTTTCAAACTCGTCTTTTGCTATTTATTCATCACATAAATCATGCCCAGACTTTAGATTCATCTAGTGGATCGAACATCACGGGAAAAACAAGACACTTATTGAACAAGGGAAAGAGAACATACACATACCTCTATCCCTGCGACTAATCATGGGAAAAGCTTCCACCAAAGTCCGAGATGTTAACCAGGAAGCTAGCCCGCAGTGGTATGTCCCGTTCTTCTTCGCCTCTACAATGAGGAGCAATCTCACGTCCAGGGTCCACCCCTTCCGCATCTCCTCCTCCTAGGACTTTAGGACTGACAAGCTCCACCGATGGGAATTGCCAATGTTAACCTGCGAGGCCAGCAAAGATGGAGAGAATGTTTGGGTAATGAGGACTGGAGCGTAGCGATGACAAAAGAATTGGTGGACGAGAAATCCAAAGTTCAAAACGCGAGCAGCCCCCGTCAACAACAATTTGTGCCGGGATCGATGAGATCGTAGGGGGGGGGCGGGGGAAGAACCGGTACCAAATCTGAGGAGAGAATTTGACAACGGGTTGAAATCAAATACCTGGTTTTTACCCCGAAGGGCCATCGCAATCTTCGCGAGATCGAGAGGAGGAGAGCCGAAAGAAGAAGCGGAGAGAGGCGGTGATTGGGATGGCGATGGTTACGCCCAAAAGCAGCTGCTGCTTCTTCAAGCTTACTACTACTAAAATCTTCTAAAAAAATAATTAAAATACGGAACCCCCTTTTCCAAAAAACAGAAGCCAAAGCTCAGATATATTAAAACCCCCGTCTCTTCCGCATATATAGCATTCGAGCCTGAATCCTTTTAAGTAATTGACTCAATTGCGTAATCGGCCAATATGACCAGCGGGATTTCGCGGATGAGGGGCCAATAGCGGCCGGTCCCTTTCTTGCATCGCTCCTCCAGAATCCCACATCTTTCGATCCAGAGGTATTCTAGGGAGGGAGGGAGGCCATCCTGGGGCAACTCCCTCAGCTTCGGGCAATCTTTGATCCATAACAACAGGAGAGAGGGAGGGAGACTGCTGGACAGTCTTTCCACCTTCCCCATGTTCCGCATAAAGAGATGGAGCAGAGAGGAAGGGAGCGGAAGCCGAAGATCCTTCTCCTCTCCCACTCCTCCCACCCTGCCGTCGATATACAGAGATTGAAGGGAGGTGAGGCGGGTAAGCCACTCCCTCACCGGCTGCTTCATACTCCCACAATCCCATACCTTAAGTTCCTGTAGCTGGGGCGGCAATCCTCCGTGGGGGAAGCGCGCAATACTCTCACACTCTGAAATATTGAGTGTACATAGACATGGAAGTTGATACAACTTATCAGGTAACGATTTTATCTTCGGACAATTATAAAGAGAAAATCTCGAGATGCTGAGAGGAAGAGGAGGGAAGCACTCTAGCTCCAGCGCAGGACAGTTGACCAATGCCAAGGAAGTGAGATGGGACAGTGTGTGTAGGCACGGAGGTAAACTTCTCAAATTCTTGCAATCCCCAATTTCAATCTCTTGAAGCGACCAAAGACGGTCTACATTTATCTCCGCGAGTGACTCCACTCCATTGCAGTAAGAAATCGTAAGTGTCTTGAGGGTCGCAGGTAAAAATCTACCCTCGTTGAATAGAGAGGCTGGCAGAGAATTACATTCGTAGATTGATAATTTTTGCAGACAAGATGTCATGTCAATGCGATTATTGCTATTGCTGCTGTTGCCACTGCTTGGTTCATCTGGATGAATACTTAATCCTTTGGGTAAAGATTGCAACATATTGCAGCCACTGACATTTAATGATACCACCGATGTCGGTATACCTGTTTCGGGGAAGGACACGAGTTTTGGACAGTTATTGACCGTCAAGTTTATAAGAGAGGAGAGGGTATGCATTTTGCTTGGGAGCTTCTCTAAATTGACGCAATTTGTCAATTTGATAGTCTTGAGATTGCCGGGCAGCTCTATATCTCCTTCTCCAGCCACAAAATATATGAATTTCGGACATCCATCGACGACTAAGTTCTTCAGGCAAGCGAGATTTCGGATGACATCTCTATCTTGCCACAAGTATATTAACTCGTTACAATTGCGCATCTCCAACTTCTCTAGCTTGATCAAGGAGCTTGTGAACCCATGATTTAAGCAAGTTAATTCAGCAACATTTTCAATGGCAAGAGCAGTTAGAGATGTCAGGTTTACCAAACTCTTCAGCACCCCCTCATTACAACCTCCAAAGTTTAATTCATTGAGAGATGGAAGGCTCGTGATAGAGGGCGAGACATCCATATGAGGACAAGAGTTGATTTCAAGCATTACGAGGGAGCTTAGTTGACTAGGCAATCTTCCGATCAACATAGGGCAATCCTTAATGACGAGATGCTCAAGACAAGGGAATAATACTCCTACTTCTTCAGTGCCGACGCGATGAGACCAGTCCTCCCACAATGGCATGTCCTTGAACACCAAAGTAATTAAGGACGGAAAAGGACTTTTAGTTCCATAAAATTCAAACCCTATCGTGCATATCGCATTTAGACCTTCGATGTACAATTCTTTCAATGAAAATAGCTGCCCAAGTGATGGTAATGCTTTGGCGCGACGACACCCATGTAATCGTAAATGAACTATGTTAACATGTCGGGGACTTCCGAACCATGACGGAAATTCTAGGCCACCATAGTAGGATATTTCGAAATTTGCAAGGTTTTTGTGAGGGCGAAGAAAGTCCAGGACTTCTGCCTCAAGCTCTTCATTCCGCAAATTTTCAAAATCCGTACTCCATTGCATGGTCAACCGGCATATTCCCTCCTTCGTGTGTAAATTGGCATCTTGGGCATCTTCGGCTTCTCGAACCTTATGCAAATCAGAGATGAACAGTTCCTCTCGAAAGTTATTCAACTTTTTTAACTCCTTTAACCTCGATCTTGTTTCCATTCCCACTACAAATTTGGACAATATCTCAAGACCCACCATATTACCTATATACAGTGGCATCGCTCTTAAGCTCGGAGTGTCGGTAATGTCGAGAAATCTCAGATTAATCAGTTTCTCAATACCTTTTGGTAATTCAATAAGATAGTGACAGCCCCGCAACATCAAAGCCTCTAGGTTGTATAATGCAACAACTGACTTTGGAAGCGTTCTAATATCAGTATGTGACAGATTAAGGTGCCTTAAGTGTCTTAGTTTGCCAATGCAATCCGGTACCTCTCTGATATGGTAGCCACTTAATGAAAGCACCCTTAAGTACTTCAATCTAGATAACAAGTCACATAGCACTTTCTGAGACAAAAATGAACTATTATATTGCTTATCTAACGATATGAAGCTCCTAAGTCCCTTCATTCCATGATATATTTTGAATCTTTCTGACACAATGCGACGGTTGGGTATGAATGAGGCATGACGAGCTAAAGATGCAGTATATTGATTACCTTCGAACTTAAACTCCTCTGAGTTGAAATAGGTTGCACCTGCAACTAGCTTTGCCAGGTCATTCACAAGATCATGCATCAAGAATCGTGATTCACTTCTACTCGACTTTTGAAGTAACGATCTAGATACTAGCTCGTTGAAAAGTCTCAAACCTGCATTCCAATGATTCTTTCCTTCTCTTCCCTCCAACAAGCCCTCTGCAATCCACCAGTGAATCAGCTCATCCCGTTCGATTTCATAGTCATTGGGAAATATAGCACAGTAAGCAAAACATCTCCTTAGATTCGAAGGGAGATGGAGGTAGCTAAGTTTCAAAGCCGGAAGGATGTCATTACTTTCTTCTGGTAGGTCCCAAATTTTGCTGTTCAATATAGCTTCCCATTCATGGGGACTGACTTTAGAGCTTAGCAGCCCGGCCAAAGTCTTCACGGCTAATGGCAACCCTTGGCATTTTTTCACTATTTTTCGACCTAATTCTTCAAGATGGGGATGACGATCGAAATTTCCAACTCCAAGAGCATGAAATGCAAACAAAGTCATACAAGCATCTTGTGACAACTCTTTTAGAGTATATGGTGGAGCACGGGCTATTTCAGCAACACGGAAATTACGAGTTGTGACGATAATCTTGCTTCCCTTTGCTCCCGATTGAAAAGGCTTCAAAAGGGTAGTCCAGTTTCCATAATTCTCGTTCCAAACATCGTCTAAAACAACAAGAAACTTCTTCCTCGAAAGGTTTTCCTTAAGCTTATCTTGAAGCCAATTCAGGTCCTTACCTTCACAAGACAAATGGCCAACGGTTGTCTCTAGGATTGTCTTTGTAATAGCAAGCACGTCGAAATTATCGGAAACGCAAGCCCATGCTTTCGCATCGAAATAGCCGGTGACTCTAGCATCATTGTAGACTTGCTGAGCCAGAGACGTCTTCCCAACACCTCCCATCCCGATGGGAATCATTTTTAGATCCGCATATGTTCTATCGTCCTCTTCTCCTGTCAGTAATTTGAGGATCTCCCTTTTTTCATCCTCCCTACTAACAAAACCAGGCTCAGGCAAATAGGTGGTGGGAAGCGGCTTATCCTGTCGGCGGTCTGCTGATCGATTCCCGTTAGTCTCTCTCAAGTTTAGAGTATCTTTTCGAGTGATAACATCCATTAATCTGCCATCCATCTCTTCTATCGCGGATCTCAGTTTGCGGTCGAACATAAATGCTCTCGGGCTCAATCTGAAGCAACAACTCCGAAGAAGGGATCGCGCCTTGCTAGTATCAGGTTCTGCCTTGGACTTGTTTTCTGCAGATTCTGTGGCGAACTCGTCTAGCAAGTCTTCAATATCGTAGGCCAAGTTCCTGAGATCTTCGAGCCACAACTTCACCCCAAGATCACCAATCAGTTGTCTGTCCTCTGCATCATCCAGCACCTGGTTGATACTGATTAGCATCTTCTCCCATTTCTTCAGCAGCGTATCGATACCCTCGCGCTGCCCAAAGTAGAGAAGCTCGCGAGAGGCCAACCTATCAAACAGCACTTGAAGAAAGGAGCCAAGAAAGAGCTCCGCCAGGGGCATGGCTTGATTCGTGAGCAGCAGAGGATTAAACAAGAGTGCGAGGATGGTTCGAAACAAAGTGTACTGAGCGGAGAGGAAACCCAAGTTCTTGCTTCCAGGACGATAGCATCAAATGATAGTGTGAACCAAAGACTTTTCAAGCACTGAAGTGCTCTTTCTTTCTCGGAAGGAGCTGCCGTTGCATTTCATCTCGTCTCATTTGAATTTGAATTTGAATTTCATTTCACTTGCCTCAATTTCTCGGAAGCAAGTTGGTCGGACGTGGGACCAACAAGTCTTGGCATCATTAAAGCCACCAAAGGCTCAGAAAGTAAAGAAGTGGGCCCCGTCTCCAACCCAACCCCCCGAAGCTCTTGCTCTATTATTGCTCAATCAGTTCTCTCTCACCACTCACATCACACGAATTCCCAAACACACCCATCCACCATCATCATGCATCACATAGATCATATGGCATCATGGTTTCATTGATGCAGCCTCATGAACCCCATCCCATTATCAAAAAAAGGATAGGTAATTACATAATTTTTGTTCATGTAGATCGAATACCACCTTAACACGAGAGCTCAATGTACTGAAAGCTCCAAAAATTACGCAGTCGATTGCTCAACGGGTGTCCAGAAACACTTGATAAAAAAAGTCATATCTAAATAATGTCCAGAAAGAAAAAAAAACTGTTACTTTTCTTCATTATTATGGTTGCTACCTAGATTTGCTCTCGTAAAGATACATTATGCATAAGATTAGGAGGGAAAATTTGAGTGGCCCCAAATCGAATTTCATTGCAAACCTTCAAGCTGGTTTAGACACAATTTAATCGCTATATCTTTAAATAGAAAAAAAAATATTGTAAATACCTCGTTGGTATCAAGGTTAAACAAAATATGGAATTTCAAGACAGTAAGATCAGATAAGATAGGCTTATGTCTAATTAGGTGTATAGTGGGAGTACCTAACTACAATTGGTCCACCAACTCAATATTTTCCAAAGATGGACAAATTGATAAATTTAATCCACTACGAGTTTTTTTTTTTTTCCGGAAACTACAAGGTTTAAGGGGTGGCTCAAGAAATGGGAGCCAGACAAGAACTAGAATTATTGTACGAAGCAGAGGACGACCTCTTCACCTTTCCCAGTTGCAGGCCCCATGGGCAAAGCATGGAAAGAAGGGTGATCGTGGCGGGACATGCGCGGAAGCCAAAGGCATCAAACTTTTATAATTCATATAATTACTTCTCTATTTTCATTGCTCTTTTCGCACAAATAATTTATTTATTACTCTCTCTCTCCCTCCCTCCCTCCATGTACATCGCTTTTCGATTTTCTTTGCCATTTTATCTGTAGTTTGTATGTTATTGTTGTTCTTTGGATGCTTTGGACATGGGGCCTGCAACTCCACAAGGTGAAGAGGGCAGAGGGAGAATGACGTTGGATCCCTTCTTCCTCTCCTTCGCACAAAACTCCTTGTTGCTGTCTGGTCCCCATTTCTTGACCCAGCTAAATACAGGGTGTCAAGACATGCTTGTTTACTGAGGAATTACAAGGTTCCTGTTGAGATGCAGTCCTGCTCTAAATAATGTGCAATGCTCTTTAGGGTGAAGTGCACCCTCCTCATGATAAATTGCTCGCTTTTTTATGGTGAAGTTCATGCTTCTCAAGATAATATACAATCTCGTTCTCGTTCATGTCAAATTAAACATTTACCAATAGTTCAGGGACAACATTAAACAAATTAAAAGTCAAAGAACGAGATTGCATATTTGGTCAAAATTCAGGGACAATATTGCACAAACTAAAAGTTCATAGACGACATTGCACATTAGATTAAAATACATGAACTACTTATGTTATTATCCCTATCAAAATTGATTGAGATGCGAGTGATCGATACATAAAATACATTCTATTATGGTCATGTCATGCAATCGGACTGCTTGGATAGAAGATGTAGACTACAAAATTTGCCTAGGGCTTTTAAGCTGGTTCCGGAGATGAATGACACCAAGAAGGCCTCAAAGAATGGAATGAAACTTTCATTCTAGTCAAATGGTCTTTTCCATTCTTGCAACTACACTGTAAGAAAAAATAAATTGAGGTTGGTACAAATTACAAGTTATGTCTGTTGCGACAATTTAAGATAAGTTACTATACTAAGGTGATTGACATTCTCATCGTACAAAGTCTATAGCTAAACTCATACGTGAAAAAGAAAAATACTAACTACAGGTGCAATCCAAATTACACTGAGATCAGTTAAATCACGATTGCTGGAGTTATATTACTAGGTACAAGAACAATAAGGTGTGACCTACAAGGGAAATTATAATACCATTAAGAGGAGCAAAATCTCTTAAGACGAAGTAATTTACCTTAGAGGAAGTAATTTAATTTACCTTTGAAATGAGTAATTTAGCTTTGAAAGTAAAGTTCGTAAACCGCTTATTGTATCGTAGATGCAAAATAAAATTCATAAATTATATTTTGTGTTTGTAAATTAGCTTCTTGTATATTCATTATCAACAAAGTGCAACTTCAGACAATATAGGCCTCCGAGACTTCTTAAATCGGTCTCGATCCTCAAGAGCATCGATCTTCCCTCTCAACGACGAACGGAATAAAGAAGAAACTATATAGGTATATTAGTTTGTAACCTTGATATCAAGCTCTTCATTGAATACACTCTTCTGTGATCCCCCTCTACATGTACATGCAAAATGGAAGAACCAAAATCTCATCAAACGACACACATTTTACGACTTCACTTCTTACCGCGCGCCGCTCGTCCGTAAAATGCAGGAGAAAAGAATGGATTGATGGGATCTACTCCTGTCACTACAGTCATGAATTTGATCCTGCTTAGTGCACGAACGTCCCACCTCATCGATTCATAAGCAGACGGCACATCGTGCAAGGGATCGTGTCTGCGGTTTCTCTCCATTATCCTTCTTGCCAGGGAAACTTGCTTCCCAACTTCAAAGACGAACGCTTTGCCTTTCCCTCCAGCACCTCTCGCTGTTCTTCCAACACGGCGTACATATTCGCTCGGATCGCGCGGGAAGTCAAAGAGAATAACATGATCCACTCAGGTAATGTCGATTCCTCGTGATGCCCTGCCATATGGTTGAAAAAACATCAGGATCTTGCAAATACTTAAGGAAAGATGAGAGTGACATGTCTTTGGTAAATCCATATGTGCCCAGTGACCCCGCCAACAGTTAAAAGCACCCGCCTTTCATTTGACTGTGTCACAAACAGTGCTGTTAAAAGCACTACGCGCTGTTAAGAGGCTCAGAACCACACAATGCCTCAGGCGCTAGGCTGAACAATGAGAGGTGCTAAGTAAAAAGTGGGGATTAAATCCATCAACAAACAATTTCTTAGGTCTTTCCTGCTTAGAATCAGAAGTTATACAAGGTCTGCATCGCAGCACATATTGCACCGGTGCAAGATGTTGCGAGTGTCTAAAAGTCAACAAAGAATTAGAAAGGCGAGATTACGGGATAAGTAGATCGACCTTCATTGTATAAAAGAAGCTACAAAGCTTTCGGCTTCTCAGAGCCTGGTAGCTGTCCTCCACTTCCAACAGCTCTTTCAAAAAGATATTTACCTATTCTCTTCTTTACTTTTACTAAGAACGGGAAAAAGAAGGAAGTCAAAGAAAAAACGTTAACCTAGACAAATCTTCTCAGGCAATACCTCATAGGAGGAGCACCTCACCTCAGGCGCTTAACTTAAAAGAGGAAACCTTGCCTGAGATGAGGTGAGGAGGAGAGGCTTTGCCTCGCTTTGCCTGAGCGCCTAGGTGAGTGCCTCAAGCGTTTGCTAACACTCGGCTCTTGCCCATCAGAGAAATTGAGCTGAGCCCAATACCAGAAAACTTGCAAAATCCAGACAGAACAAGACCCGTCCCAGCCATTACTATTTTCATCTAATTCTTGTTGAGACCGACTATATTATTAAATGTGCAAGCTTGAACTGAGCACTGAAGGCCTGGGTCTTGGCAAGCCATGCATGGTTAACTAAAGGCTTACTTTTAGGGATCAAGCTCGGCCGCGGAGCAGATCTATCTCTAGAAGCATATACATCCCTGTCGGTGCAAACCAAACAAGGACACATCTTTAGATGGAGAAGCAGCAAACTCTTTCATATTTGCCTGTCGCGACTCTTGTAAAACAGCAGCATGAAAAGGAGTTGTATATGGAGAAGAAGAAGGATGATATAAAAGAAATGATGAGTCCTCCATCCAGATGGCTTCAGAGCCTTCTCTCGAACTCCAGGTCAGGAGTTAGCGAGATGGTCGGGAGAGAGATGTAAATGCAATGATGAGTCAATTTCAAGCAGCCTACACTGAAAGATCAACATACCTTGTTACAGAAAACAATCGTTTTGGTTACTGGGCTTTCTTCCACAAACTGAATAAGAGCAGACTTCTTACTCAGGAATGCAGTATCTGAAGTCTTTTCGCTGTCTTCCTTTCCACTACAATCCATGAGAAACTGGACATGACACGTAACAGTTAAATTCACCTCTATTACAATGGTAGTCAGTTTTCTTCTTGACAGGAAAATAGGAGGAATGGCACTGGTTAGCTACCACAGCAAATTTATGCGACATGTTCATCAAGGGGGAAGGACAATGCAATTTCACGTAACAGAAGATAACTTTTCAACCCGAATTAAAAAGCTCTTAGCCTATCTAGGATTGGTCTTGGGAAAATAATCCTTCTCCAGTATATGCAGCCTAAATTAGTTTGTACAATACCTCTGTACAAAGTTAAATTCTGAGAACCAACAAACAGGCAAAATGAAAGGACAACTGCACAAACTCTTCTGCAAATTGAGGAAAGAAGAGAAACAGATAGGATCCTAATATAATCCTCAATCATCTCAAAACAATCAATCAAATTTCACAGACTTCTCCTGATTTTATTTCTCTTCACTTCCAAGCATTTTTAATGACTTACAGAATGCTGGTGGCATCTTTAGATAGTATAGACCGCTTTTGGCCAAAAGAATAGTATAGATAGCCATGCATACACTTGCTAAGAGTCATTCAAGGAAAAAATTTCATTCCACTCTTCATCCAGTTTCCATCTTCCCCCGTCATATGCAGTAACAATCCACCCCCAAATCCAAAGC